ATGATGTATGCCATTTCAAGAGGTAAAATATACAATGTGCGCTTCTAAATCATGTGACAAATTATAACTTTGTTCTTTAAAATGAATGTGCATGCAAAAATGGAACAAGACTAAAGTCCAGTAGCAGGATGAACAGCCAGAACTTTCTGCTGGAGTGCAAAGCCCATGAACACGAAGAAGAAAAACATTGTACTGCAGCAATGTGTGGTGGAAACTGATACATGACAAGCTCCACATGGCCAGAGCCCTTTGGGAGCAAGTAAGCGCTGCTGAAGCACAAACAGATCATTAGGGTGCAGAGAGAATGGCACAGCTAGGAGCGGCCAGGGGGATCTGGCTGACAGGCTCTCAGAGGAAACGCTAGATGGACAAACAATCAGACTGTTACTAGTACCACTGGAAATGGAACTTTCTGCTGGGGAAAGGAGTGATTATGGAAATGTTCTGAGTGTGCTGAATGTCAGTTCTTATGTTAGCTTAGGTGAGTAACTATATGATGTGTACTATTTAACCATGTGACAAACTATATGATGTGTACTATTTAACCATGTGACTAACTATATGATGTGTACTATTTAACCATGCGACAAACTATATGTATGCTATCTAACCATGTGACTAACTATATGATGTGTACAATTTAACCATGTGACAAACTATATGTATGCTATTTAACCATGCAACAAACTATATGATGTGTACTATTTAACCATGTGACAAACTATATGTATGCTATTTAACCATGCGATAAACTATATGATGTGTACTATTTAACCATGTGACAAACTATATGATGTGTGCTATTTAACCATGCAACAAACTATATGTGTGCTATTTAACCATGTGACAAACTATATGATGTGTGCTATTTAACCATGCGACAAACTGTATGTATGTTATTTAACCATGCGATAAACTATATGTGTACTATTTAACCATGTGACAAACTATATAATGTGTGCTATTTAACCATAACCATGTGACAAACTATATGTATGCTATTTAACCATGTGACAAACTATATGTATGCTATTTAACCATGCGATAAACTATATGATGTGTACTATTTAACCATGTGACAAACTATATAATGTGTGCTATTTAACCATGTGACAAACTATATGATGTGTGCTATTTAACCATGTGACAAACTATATGATGTGTGCTATTTAACCATGTGACAAACTAAATAACTGATGCTATTAACCATGTGACAAAGAATAAATGCTATTTAACCATGTGTTCACCTATAAGATGTCTGCTATTTAAATGTAATATTTTCAACTACACTTCAGAAACAACAATCTTAACAGTGTGAGAAACAGGCTACACTCTTCACCTGCTTTCAGGTGTGGCTTATATCATGTTTAGAAGTGAGGCGATCTGCCAGACTCTAGAAACCGTCCAAACCAACACACTGATATAGGTATGCCTACTGATAAACATTCACATAATATGATAGATGTTCTAAGCCCCTTTTAACTCTTCTTTGATCCTTCTGTCAGAAAACTTATTTCAGCAGGCTGGTTGGGACCCTGATCATCCTACAATCCTTAACAGCCTGTATCAGTTACTGGGCTGATAACCCTCCATGCCACAACAAAAGGCTGTCATGAATCTTCAGTGTCCCCCCCCCCCCCCCCCCCCCCCCCCCCCCCATCTTTCCAACTGTCAAAGCATGTTCTGTGGTTAGCTATCTTTGGGTCTTAACCTCTTTCAAAATATATCAACTTAATTTCTATCATCAAACTGTTGGTGTTGGCAATTCTGATGGCTGCCTTATGCATTTAATGCGTTTGTGTGCTACTGGCTTTGCTGATGCAGTCTGTATACATTTTAGAAGGGGCAATGATGAACATTCTATGCGGTTTTCATATGGCACTGAAGAAAGGCAACTATGGGGTGACTCTTTTGCTATGTAGTTAGAACTGTGACTACCTGAAAACATGAATTACTCATTTTGGCTGTCAGAAAATTTGTGGAAGGTAGCAATCAAAAGCCATAATTCTTCTTCCTCAGCAACATGCGCCTGATATCACCTGCCTCCATTCATCTCCAAGACTGGCCTTCTCTTTCCATTTGTATTTGCAGGAATATAATTTCTCTCCACTATCTTCATGATCTACCTCCCATTCAACTCTTTTGTGTCAACAGTTTTTATCTGTTATCTGTCATTCCCTTTATACTGCAGTCTACTGTGGTCTATTAACCCTACTGATTCAAATTATACACAAATACATAACTATTTATAAGTCTATACATTGCAAGAAAACAAATCCAGTCCATCAATGAACACTTTCAGGTTTCTCTTTATTAAGTTCTTCTTCTCTAAGGATGGCAACATCAACCTACAAGCTCAAACAGCAGGTCATCTAATTCTCCGGGATCATCATCATCATCATTACCACCATCAGTGGATTCTGGGCTGAATTCTCCAATACTAAAATCATCTTCACTGTTGATGTCTCCTCCCTGACCGTTATTATCTGCCAAAAGAAAACATCACTCAGTTTACATTTTCTTTATGTCAAAGGTAATCATCTGAAAATATAAACAGCTGCACTTTATATTCCACGGCTTCAAATATTTTACATTCTTAGTATGGGTTCCAGGACCCTTGGGGGGGGGGGGGGGGGGGGGGGGAGATATATTCACTTAATACTCAAAATCATGTCCTGAAAGGTAACTAATTAGGGGTTTGCTAGTATCGGATGTGTTGGGCAATATGCTGTAAGCTACAAAACAATGCGCCAACCGCCTTTGCAAGAGTGAAGAGGAAATAAATGCAATTATTATTTTGGATTTTGAAGCCATGAAATAAACCTGATAACATTAAAATATGGATACTTTTCTGGGATTTCAAATCCATGAACTAAATACAATGCAAGACCCATACCTTGTATATGCACTCTTTACTTAGAGAAATTAAAATACAAATACAAAAGGAAAGAGGAGCTTTCATTGCAATAGGAAATTTGTGGAGGTCAACAAAAATTAAAACCAAAGCTTAACTGTAAATGTTTAATTCTAATGTGAAATCATTACTGTTGTACAGAGCTGAAACATGGAGAGCGACTTGACAATAACCAACAACCTACAAACATTCGTTAACTGGTGGCTGCGCAGAATAGAAGGAATTGAATGGTATGATAGAATAACTAATGCAGAGCTTTGGGAGAGAACTAAACAAATTCCCGTTGACCAAGAGGGGAAGAAAAGAAGCTGGCCTTGGATAGGACACACTGTGAAAAATATGACAACAATATAACTAGAATGTCTTTGTACTAGAACCCACAGGGGCATAGAAATAAAGGCAAACAAAAAAGAGAAGGGGAAGGGAGCTAGAGAGTGAAGTTAAAAAGATGGGGAGGCACATGGGGTGAGCTGCATGCAATAGTGATGGATATAATGGCTTGGCATAGGTTGGATAAAGGCCTATGCTCCATTAGGAGTTAAAAGGCATTAAAAAAAGTCTTACTTCCTAGAACATTGCCTGATAAGCATTTTAGGCTGGGCTGACCTGGGATCCAAGGGTAGTATTTAAGAATGCATATTATCTTATCTATCTCTAACAGCCCATCAATAGAAAAGAACCAAGGCAAACAAAGTAATAACATGAGTCAATGATACCTTGATCTGAAGCTTCTGCAAACTCCAGTAGATTTTCATCATCTAAATCTATATCGTCGTCGTCGTCATCATCATCGTCGTCATCATCATCATCATAGTCATCAGGCTCATCATCTCCAGGGTTGTCATCATCTTCATCAAGCTGTAATATAGAATATGAGAAATGGGACATCTCAAATGGGACACTGGGTGCCAAAGACGCACTGAATGTAATGATATAAAATCATGAGAGGAACTTCCAGAGATGGGACACTGGATGCTGAATGTAATGATTTACAATGATTAAAAAAATAGAAATAACAGAAGGGGACACTGGGTGCTAAATGTAATTATATACAATGAAAAGATAGGGACAAATCAAAGATGGCACACTGTGCTGAATGAAATGAAATAAGCAAGCTTATTTCAAAATCAACCTACGATTAGCTGATTTAAAAAAAAAGAAAAAACAGTTGCCATAGTGACACCATTCACTGCTTGCATCATTCAGTAGCCTTTCAGCTCACTAGACACCAATTTACATATGTTCAGTGGTTCATAAATAAACATGGATACTGTTCCTGCCGTTCCCACCAGCTGTGAAGTTTGTGGCGTGATTCGTTATCTTCAAGCAGAAGAACAAAATATATCCTATAAGGGATAAATGGGGATACTACTTATGAGTGTCGACAAAAGAGATGTTATCTATAAGGGATTAGTGGGGATCTTACTTATAAGGGATGAGTGGTGACAAAAGGGATGTTATCTATAAGGGATGAATGGGGATCTTACTTAAAGGGATGAATGAGGATCTTAAAAGGGATGAATGGGCATCTTACTTAAAGGGATGAATGGGGATCTTACTTATAAGCAATGCATGAAGATGACAGGTGCCTCTTATAGGTGATTATAGGGATGTAAAATAATGGATGGGTGAATGAGGATGATAGTGATGTTAAGGGATGAATGAGGACTGCAGGGTGTTGTACAGGATGTATGTGAATGACAGGGATGTTACTTATAAGGGATAAATGAAGACGATACGGATCTTAGTACATACAAAGGACAAAGGCATCTGGGTTGTAGCCTTTGAGGTATCGTGGCTAGAAGACTCGGTGTCATCAGGGATGCCATAAGAGAGGTACGAGGGTTGGGGCCCTAGAGATGCAACCCAGCAATCATGGTGATAAAGCACTCAGCTTTTCTTGCTTGAAGCACAATGTCCTGAATGGGTTCTGGGGCTCTATAAGAACACATCCACTGCTTGTTAACAAGCATGTCATAAAAGGCACTATTAAAGGAATTGCCAGCTTAGCTGTATACCACAACATAACATGCCTGCAGTTCTTTTAAGGGCGAACATAGAGGAAGAAACACAATGAGACACATACCTGGTCCTCTGGCTCCCTATTCTTTCCCAGCTCGTAGATACGGCACAAGGATTCTTCTGCATCCGTTGTTTCATGCTGAGCAGCATTCTGCAATGAATAAAATATATATGGGTTTCTTTGATAAACCTCTTCTGACATGGTTTTTTGTGTGTGTAAAAATTCAATCTCTCCTGATACAAAGTTTCTTTGACACAATCATGGATTTCTCAGATACAATCTCTCATTATACATGGGTTTCCTTGATATAATCTCTCCTCTCTTCCCATCACACACAAAAACAAGCACACAGACACCACTAAATCACTGGAGAACCTTTGATGCCCTTGTATAACTATGATGTGGATCTTTGGCAGAGAAATAAACACATTCAAGTGAATCAAAAAGTGAAGAAAAGAGGCTGGCAACGGATAGCATATAATGAACAGAAAACCAGGAGAGAAAAAAAAACAACTAGAATGTCTTTACATTGGAACCCACAGGGGCACAAAAATAAAGGCAAACTAATTATTAAAAAAAACATGGGTAAAGGAATTAGGGAGTGAATTTAAAAAGATTGGAGGGCTATGTGGTGAGCTGTGTGCAACAGCAAAGGACATGATGACTTGGCATGCGTTGGTTGAGGGCCTATGCTCCATTTGTTGATAAGGGGCAAAAAAAGAGAGAAAAAAAGAAAACCTCTCATTTGTTTTATCTACTTCTATGAGTGCCTATCTACTTGTAAAGATAGTAGCCAGAGTCTCTGAAACAATCAAAAGTTAGTTGCGTATCCTTTACAGATTGTTGCATAACCAACCCTATAATTGTTTGGCTGTAGTGGTTTTTCTAGGCACATTTACGTCCAGTAGTTCACCATTGCTTTCTGGACGGTCAGCTTCTTGATACCACTGTCAAAAACCAACCCAGAGCCAGCAGCTGGGATCCAACCTGGCACCCCAGCATTACAAAGCATGCTCGCATCGCCTAAGCCACATACGCCAACGAAGCGATCAGTTTCATTTCTGTGCCAGGAAATGCAGGTGTAAGAGAAAATGAACAAGCTGATAGACTTGCCGATAGGGCTTTCTGCGGTGGGTGCGTGGGCGAAAAGTAGACCGGGCTGACTTTCGTAAAAAATTTAAAATTTAAATTAATTAAATCATGAATGTAAACATGCAACCATGTCCAGACAACAAAAACAGCAAGCCAAAAGGGGTGAGGCCAAATACTATGTAGAAAACCACAGAAGAAAAGCAATCCAACAGAGAACTGGGTTCATCAACCGCTACAGGCTAAGAAATATCATGACGAGGGGGATACAAGTACTGATGGACTGAGTGATTTGATGTGCCGCGATAATGATGAACGAATAAATGAAAGAATCCAAAATTGACTTCACTGTAGTCTGGACATTTCCACACATGCTCCGTACCATTCTTCAGCAGCCGACGAAGAGTTGACATGCTAATATTTGCAACCTGCAGAAGTCCACCTTTTCTCCCCCGTAACTGCTGAATATCTTCCAGATCCTCTACTCTACTCACCCCCCCCCCCCCCCCCCCTCTCCCGATAAGTATTTAAATGTATGGATTCTGTCTGTTCCACTGCATTGTCCGTATTTGATCCCAGGAGGCCTTCACCATGTCCTTTTATCATAAAGTAGCTACCTGCCCAGAGGTGCAGCAGCAGCTGATCTAGGAGCCTGAGGATCATCTGAACACTAACTTGTTGGGAATGTATGCACTATCTAACAAGCACAAAACACTACTGACCTCGATGACTGCAATCATTAGATCATTTCGGTCCACATCAATGTCATAAATGCATGTGGTTTTCAGATCGAAGGTGCCTGTGGATAGAACAGATAGTTCAGACAATGAAAGTCTATACAAGATATTAGCCCTTCCGATACCTTATTTTCTTCTTCTTGTTCGCATCCACAACTCCAGCAGAAAAATTATGGCTGTTAATCAACTTCTGGACCTTAAACTTTAGTGTAGTTCCAAAGCTTGAATTTTGCGTGCACATCCATTTTACAGATCTGGCTTAATTTTTATGCAGAATGTTGATTTCTTGTCTCTTAGACAGACGCACTCCAACTTCGAACAAAAACACCCCTAATTAGTTTACCCATGACTTGCCTGTTAAGTGGCAGTGAGACTATTTATTCTCCCCCTCCCCCCCCCCCCCCCCCCCCCCCCCCCCCCCCCCCCCCCCCCCCCCCCCCCCCCCCCCCCCAATGCAGACCCTGAAACCCATTAGGGAATGTTTTGTAAAAGTTTATCCTTTTTTAAATTTTATTTTACTTTACTTAAACTGTTCTTTATCTTGATGCCATCAATCCATATTTCAGGCCTTTTCTTGTTGTGCGTTCATTATATTTCTTTGGCGTAGCTCTTTGTAGCTGCTGGTGCCATTGCATCCTCGTCAGATGACCAAACCATCTCATCTGTTGCTCTTTAATGAACTTGACCACTGGTTTTACTTCTTCTAACATTTTTATTTTAAATGTTATCTTTTCTTGTTACTCCAGCAGTTCTGAGATACATCACTGTTAATATGATTCTGCACTCATTAGTTGCAAATAGGGTCCATGTTTGATACTGGCAGCATAAACTTGGACCCAAAAAATTTTTATTGTTAAATTCGTCTGTCCAAAACATGATTTGGATTAAAAACAAGTATGCTTCGGCTATTTTCATGAGGTAAGTAAACTTACTGTTGCTTCTCTCTACCAAAAATGATGAGGACTGGTCCTTTCATCCACAGAATTGAATGGGTTTATCTATTTCTTCTTCTTGGCATTCACCAGCTGTAAACTCTGGCGGAAAGTTCTGGTTGTTTGTCCACTCCTGGACTGCAATCCTGTTCCAGAACCTGAGTGTTGCATGTGTATCCGTTTGACAGATTTGTATGCAGACTCCTTGCCTCTCAGGCAGATGCACTCCGACTTCAAAGGAAGCTCCCAATTAGTCGACTCCTACGACATGCTTTTGGGTAGGCAGTGGGTCTGTTCTTGTTTTTCCCTATAATAGGGCCCCAGAACCCACACGGAGGTTTATTTGACTAATAAGGTCAACCATGAAATGTGCATGCACAGTATGGGTACAGACTGGGCAACATCAGTTGGGGGGATCCGGTTCACCATCTTTTCCAACGTCTTTTTTGTAAAATGTAAAATGCTGCTGCTGTTTTGGCTGCCTGGCATACCACTGCTCACCGAAGAAGTAAAGATACTTAAATTTTATTAAGAGTTATGGACTAGGCTGACTTACCAATGTTGCTGTAGTCTAAAGCATCAAATGTACGTAATGTTGAAGAGTAGTCACGTCGCACCGTTATGTCCAGGCTTGATGTGTCATCCACCCTGATAGCTAGTCACAAGGGGAGGTTAGAAGATGTAATATGTTATAACCATCAACACGTTTATTAGTACAAATGAAATATGATGGAGAGGGGTAGATCTGGAAAGACAATGGCTCACAGTCTGGAAAGAGAGTGACAGAGTTTGGACAGAGAGCGACTGAGAGTTGAGAAAGACATGGATAGATGTTGAGGAAGAGAAAGTTAATGAAATGTTCAAGAAAGAGATTAGAAGAGGTAATATGTTATAACTATACACTTTTTATTGTGTAAACAAAACATGATAGAGAGGGGTAGATCTGGGAAAGAGAGTAATGGTGAAATAAGAAAGAGATATTGGAGACGTTGAGAAAGAGACAGAGATAGTTAGGAAAGAGTGCTCAAGAAGATAAGAGAAAAAAAAAAACAGAATAGGAGTTTAATTTTTTTAAAAAGAATGCTAATGAAGAATAACAGTTTGGAAACAGCAAAAGAAAACTTTAAGGTTGGTAGCAAGAAGCAAACAGACAAGGAAGAAAGAAAGAAAGTTCTCAACAAGAAAACAGGAACAGATGATCATCATCACGTCGTGTCAAAAAGCAAGGGCAGATGTTCACTGTATCCTAGATTACCAGACCAAGATCAAGTAAGCAATGTAGAGATGCTGAACCACATGTGGTGTTGGGTTATCAGGACCTATCTGTGAGTGTTGTCCATCAAGACGATGATGACCACTCTTTTTCATCAAGTATGAGTTCAAAATGACTGATGAGGCCGATGCGGGTCTGAAAAGTTCTTGGACAGTGAGGTCAGGGAATCGAGTGTTGTGCCAGAGAGGGGATCTCCTGCAGTCGCCTTTCTGTCCATCCTTTTCCTAATCAGTTTTGTTGTTCTTTTTGCTTCACATGCCCTTGTGTAGAGTTGCAAGCTATGCATTTCGGTCTTAAGAGGCAGCCTCCCAATTGGTGTCATTCATCCCAGACACCTCTATACAATCACCCTTGAATTGGAAGGAAGCCTGGTCACAGTAGAAAGGATCAATGTTGCCTTTCAATTCGCAGTGCACCTGCCTGAGAGGTGAGGAACCAACGATTCGCACACAGATAAGCCAGATATGTAAAACTGATGAGCAGTCTTGGCACAAGATCAAAAGTCCAGAGGTGGATAAAAAACCAGCGCTTACCGCCAGAGAAGGATCAAGTAAACAAAACTACTGAGAGAGAGAGAACTTATTTCAGGTAAAGCAAAGAAGAAGGATCAAGTATATTTGCCTTGATTCATTCACATGACCAAACCACCACGGGACTTATCACAACCTACTTCATGCCTCTGTCTTGGGAAGTCAAATGCAGTGTACGATGTTGACCACATCAACACAATTGGTCTATAAAAAATATGAGTCTAGCATCATTTGCCTGAGGGGCCACTGGTGCAAAATGAGCCCTTTAATTAACTGACCACGTCGCTCTTGCAGCTTAGACGTTGCGAACACGTTCATAATTCTGAGGTTCAGTCCAATCCTAGCTGCAAGCAATTCGACAGTGACATGTCTTGCGCTGATTTCGAGAACAGTGTCAAGAACCAACCCTTTAAAAGCAGCTACTGTCACCACATTTTACTGCCTAGTCAAACCAAACAGCCAAATAATGCTTAAGTTGGTTTTGAAACAACATGTAAAGCAGTTGCTTTTAACCTGTAGGTTACGACCTCTTTTTAAGTCGAACGACCCTTTCACAGAGGTCACCTAAGACCATCAAAAAATACAAATTCACTGAAGTTATGAAAAAAGCAATGAAAATAAATTTATAGTTGGGGGCCACCACAACACGAGGAACCGTATTAAAGGGTTGCGTATTTGGAAGGTTAAGAGCCACTGCTGTAAAAGAAACACCACTAACTCAATTTACTTACCATATATAACATCGCCATTGGAGTTAAACATGATATGGCACTGATCAAGTGCCGGAACCGTGTGCAACAGGCGAAATGTGCGCAAATCCCACTAAATGTTGGTTGAGGTAAACTGACTGTGTCTAATGAATTAATATTCTGACAACTGCTGAAATTCATTCTGAACAATCTTTAAATAATCATAGAAATGTTATCACTTATCTTGTAAAATCTATTAATAAATGTAAATATGAGTACTGAAATTTATGTAGAACAAGTTAATAAACAAGCAAATACACAGTAAAAGATATATTAATGTCCAACTGCTCAAATTATCAGTAACAATATTTGAATTAATAAGCATTCACATGCTTAAATTCATAATAAACAATCTTTGACTGAGCACTTACAACTATAACAGCTCTCACTGCAATAACACACAGCTCTTATTACAACAGCCCACACACACACAAAAACCTCTCACCACTACAGCTTTCTATCAAACAGTCTCCAAAGCTTTCACATCAAAGGTATCAGGTTTTATCACAACAGTACATGCTTCTCTCACTACAACACCCCCTACTCTCATAACAACAGGTATCAAGAGCTTTTACCACAACAGTACACCTTCGACTACAGGTAGCACCCACAGCTCTCACACCACAGCAGCACTTACAACTATACCTCACTGACTGCATGTAGCACTAGCAGATCTCATGACAACAACATCCACAGCTCTCAGCTATCACAGCATCAAACAACTATACCTCACTGACTGCATGTAGCACTAGCAGATCTCATGACAACAACATCCACAGCTCTCAGCTATCACAGCATCAAACAACTATACCTCACTGACTGCATGTAGCACTATCAGATCTCATGACAACAACATCCACAGCTCTCAGCCCAACAGCTATCACAGCATCAAACAACTATACCTCACTGACTGCATGTAGCACTATCAGATCTCATGACAACAACATCCACAGCTCTCACAGCATCAAACAACTATACCTCACTGACTGCATGTAGCACTATCAGATCTCATGACAACAACATCCACAGCTCTCAGCACAACAGATATCACAGCATCAAACAACTATACCTCACTGACTGCATGTAGCACTATCAGATCTCATGACAACAACATCCACAGCTCTCAGCTATCACAGCATCAAACAACTATACCTCACTGACTGCATGTAGCACTAGCAGATCTCATGACAACAACATCCACAGCTCTCAGCTATCACAGCATCAAACAACTATAACCTCACTGACTGCATGTAGCACTAGCAGATCTCATGACAACAACATCCACAGCTCTCAGCTATCACAGCATCAAACAACTATACCTCACTGACTGCATGTAGCACTAGCAGATCTCATGACAACAACATCCACAGCTCTCAGCTATCACAGCATCAAACAACTATACCTCACTGACTGCATGTAGCACTAGCAGATCTCATGACAACAACATCCACAGCTCTCAGCCCAACAGCTATCACAGCATCAAACAACTATACCTCACTGACTGCATGTAGCACTATCAGATCTCATGACAACAACATCCACAGCTCTCAGCCCAACAGCTATCACAGCATCAAACAACTATACCTCACTGACTGCATGTAGCACTATCAGATCTCATGACAACAACATCCACAGCTCTCAGCTATCACAGCATCAAACAACTATACCTCACTGACTGCATGTAGCACTAGCAGATCTCATGACAACAACATCCACAGCTCTCAGCTATCACAGCATCAAACAACTATACCTCACTGACTGCATGTAGCACTATCAGATCTCATGACAACAACATCCACAGCTCTCAGCTATCACAGCATCAAACAACTATACCTCACTGACTGCATGTAGCACTATCAGATCTCATGACAACAACATCCACAGCTCTCAGCCCAACAGCTATCACAGCATCAAACAACTATACCTCTCTGACTGCATGTAGCACTATCGGATCTCATGACAACAACATCCACAGCTCTCAGCAAAATAGCTATCACAGCATCAAACAACTATACCTCTCTGACTGCATGTAGCACTAGCAGATCTCATCCACAGCTCTCAGCACAACAGCTATCACAGCACCAAACAAAAAATATACTGCATTGACTACAAGTAGCATTGGCAGCTCTCATGACAACAGGATCCACAGCTCACCATAACGGCTTCCAAGTTCTCACTAAAACAGCACTAACCACAACTATACCTCTCATACTACAGGTAGAACTCGCAGCTCTCATGACAACATCACCCACAGGTCTCACCACAACAGCACCCACAGCTCTTACCACAACACCCAGTTCTCACAACAGCACCCACAGCTCTCATCACAACACCCAGTTCTCACAACAGACAGTTCTCACAACAGCACCCACAGCTCTCACCACAACACCCAGTTCTTACAACAGAACAGTTCTCACAACAGCACCCACAGCTCTCACCACAACACCCAGTTCTCACAATAGACAGTTCTCACAACAGCACCCACAGATCTCACCACAACACCCAGTTCTTACAACAGCACCCACAGCTCTCACCACAACACAGTTCTCACAACAGCATCCACAGCTCTCAAAACAACAGCACACCTATGACTACAGCTAGCAACCCACAGCTCTCACAACAGCACCCAGTTCTCACAACAGCACCCATAGCTCTCACCACTACAGCAACCATAGATCTCAAAACAACAGTACACCTATGACTACAGCTAGCAACCAACAGCTCTCACAACAGCATCCACAGCTCTCAAAACAGCACACCTATGACTACAGCTAGCAACCCACAGCTCTCACAACAGCACCCAGTTCTCACAACAGAACACACAGTTCTCACAACAGCACACATAGCTCTCACCACTACAGCAACCATAGATCTCAAAACAACAGCACACCAATGACTACAGCTAGTAACCCACAGCTCTCACAACAGCACCCACTTCTCACAACAGAACACAGTTCTTACCACAACAGCACTCACTACAACAGCAACCATAGATCTCAAAACAACAGCACACCAATGACTACAGCTAGTAACCCACAGCTCTCACAACAGCACCCACTTCTCACAACAGAACACACAGTTCTTACCACAACAGCACTCACTACAACAGCAACCATAGATCTCAAAACAACAGCATACCAATGACTACAGCTAGTAACCCACAGCTCTCACTTCTCACAACAGAACACACAGTTCTTACCACAACAGCACTCACTACAACAGCAACCACAGATCTCAAAACAACAGCACACCAATGACTACAGCTAGCAGCCCACAGCTCTCACTACTACCCCACAACCTGACCAAGGATACAATCTCAGAGTTGATGACCACCTCCAAACCCCGTGGATGGAAGCAGCCGCTGGTGTACTGGTTAAACTTATCAAACTTGTAGATCATTTTGTTGGTGCGCACATCCCACAAATTCCCGTCATTCAGAACTAGGTCATCTGTCGGGTTAAAGGTGGCCATGTTGAACTTGTAATTGTTGGCTTTACGCTCATCATACAATGTCTGTACGATGGAGCCTCTGTTGGTGTCATATATCTGTAGGCGTGACGAGGGGAAAATCATTTGAAACAACTGCAAAATGACATGTGTAAAGGCAAAGCTTTTATCTTTAACATACGTATGGCTTCCTGTTCTTGAATTTAAAGAAAACGAAAATAATGTCCACAGATAAAACTGGCTGTCACCCAAAAATAACAATAAATGATGAAGAAATTGAAAATGTCACAAACTTTGAATATCTAGGCTCTATGATAAACAATGGAGACTGTTCGACAGAAATTAAAAGGAGGATGGCCATAGCAATGCAAAGATTGAACAGCCTTAAAAGTCTATGGTTAAGCACCAGCAAGGAGATAAAAATTAGAATTTTGAGAGCATGCATCTTCCCTGTGGCTACATACGGATGTGTGTCGTGGACTATCTCTCAGTCCTTAAGAAAGAGAATAGGGGCTTTTGAGCTGAAATGCTATAGAAAGATTCTCAGAATATCTTGGACAAAGAAGATGAGAAATATTGACATCTTAAAAGATCTGAACATCAAGGAAAATTGGCTAATAAACAGCATCCTTTCTCGAAAGCTGAAATATTTTGGTCATATCAAGCGCCATGACGGATTGGAAAAAATTATAGCAGAAGGCATGGTACCAGGAAGGAGGGGCAGAGGCCGACCGACACGAAGTTGGGCACAGGATATAAGTGACTCCTTGAGTGTAAAAGTTCATGAGGCGGGAGAACTGGCAAGAGACCGAGTTTCTTACAGGCAGACTGTGATGAGAGCGACGTTCTGCAAAGGACCTGCTACATGATGATGATGATGGCTTCCTGTGTGGGGGAGCCCTAATGAAATTGGGGGTGGTGGGACAATATAGACCCGCTACCCCTTGACAAGCCTCCCCCCCCCCCCCCCATCAGATCTCAGAATATCTATAACACTGAACACATCCTATATATTTGATCATGAGATTATATGAAGATAAATTAAAAGTGCTCTCAGAAGGTCTACAACACTGGACATACCCTAGCTACACATTCTTTAGTTCCAATGAAGCGATCAGGGCTCTGGTTGGCAAGGACGGCAGTATATTCATCAAACCGGTACCTGAAAATAAAGGCGAACAAATTTAAGTTTCTACATTTTACTCAGTACTGAGACAGCAATGTATGTGAGGTTATGACTTTATAAAAAGTTTATTTCAAGTCCATCCACCACAGAAAGTCCTGTGTGCAGCAGGTCTATCAGTCTGTTCATTTCCTCTTACACCTGCATATCCTGGCACAGAAATGAAACTGATTTTTGTCTGCTGACTGCCGTGATAGCCTCAGAGACTCTGGCCACTGTGTTTACAAGTAGATAGGCACTCACAGAAGTAGATAAAACAAATAAAGAGGGGAGGACACATAATTCTTTTTTTTTTTCTGCCCTTTATCAAATCAATGGAGCATAGGCCCTCTACCAACTCACTCCTGTCTTTTGCTGTTGCAAACAGCTCATCCCACAGCCGTCCTTTGTTTTTAACATTACTCTTTTATCCCCATACCAACGTGGTTTATGGCTTGTTTTATTATTATTCTGCATGGGGTTTTATTCCATTTGCATCAGTCTCTCTCTACAGAATGGCTAGCGAAGCACAAATTCCATAAAGAACTCCTTTCCGCACCATTAGTGGTCATCATCATCATAAACCACTTCTGCCGTTAAGCGTCATGGGGAGGAATAATTTGCGATCCAGTTCAATTTGGCTGCCACTGGCTATTGTCATGCAGTGAAGGTGTAGAGTGTCTTTAATGTTGTCGATCCATGTTTCCCGTGGCTGTCCTCTTGCTCTTGTAGTTGATCTTCTGAGATGTAGTGCTTGTGATGGTATTTGATCTTGTTGCATTCTAACGAGATGGCCAAACCACTTGATCTGCTGTTTCTCAATGAATCTAGTACAAGGTGTCGTTCCCACAATTTGTATGATAGTTTCATTATTCACAATAGTGGTATAGGGCATATTGTGCTAGTCCTATATTTTATTAACCAATCAGCACTCTGTGCAAAGTTCTGGTTGTTTACCCACTTATGAACTTTGGCCTTGCTCCAAATTTGAGTGCTGTGTGCACATCCATTTTACAGATCTGGTTTTTTTTCTATGCAGACTGTTGGTTCCTTGCCTCTCAGGCAGATGGACTCCGATTTCAAAGAACTCCACGGATAATTAGTCGCCTTCAACAACATGACTGTTAAAACGTGGCACTGAAAGGCAGAACAGGACTAGAGAAAAGCATAAGAGTGTACATTCAGCAGGCACTTACTTCAGTGAAATCTCTGGTTTTTCTTTGTTATATCCCCATAGGGCACAGTTCTGTGATGCTCCCCATGTGCTGGTAAACAGTAAGTCTGGTTTCTGTAAGCAGGGAAAATATAAATTATTATGAGAATCACTACTCTGGTAAGCAAAAGATACAATTTTAAAAAGTTATATATAAAAATTTTATTGTGAGAATTGCCACCCTGTATAACTAAATAAGTAAGCAAATAACATGAATTCCAAGGGACTGAAAAATCAAGTGTTCTTCTTAAACAAATTTGTGTTAATTAAGTTTCACCCCCCCCCCCCCCCCCCCCTTGTAAACTTCAAATATTTGCAAAAAAAACCTTATACACAGAAAAAATCTGAACACTAGCGGTCACCCAGACAAACATTTTCAAAGCTTATAAAAAATACGGCCTAATGCTGAAACTTACCACTTTAGATGTACTAATCTGCACAACAGGGGACGAGTGACAGACTGCAGTGTAGAAATCATTCTGCAGGAAACAAGGTGCAAAATGTTAAAAGAACCATCTTCTCTAAGTGATAAACAAGGTTCTTGTTGAAAGAACTACATCCTATTTGTGTGTGTGTGAACATACCATAACTATAAAATCTCGGGGGGGGGGGGGGGGGGGGGGGGGGGTTAGCTGTGTATTCTTTAGAAGATGTTGCAGAACCAACCCCAGCATTTATTTACTTTTACCACACGTTCAGCGGTTTTCTTTGCTATCTTTAGTTGGCGCTCCAAATCACTGTCAGAATCAGTTGCAAAACATCTGCAGCTGGAACCGAACCAGGAATTCCAGAATAATAAAGCTGAGCTACAGACGCAGACTTATGCAATATTAAGAAAAACCTCTTTTTTTTTAAAAGATGTCTCATTTATGTGGAAAACATGTGTATAGTACTAAAAGAAGTCTTTTTATGCAGAAATCAAGGTGTTTACTTTTAAAATACCTCTTTTCCTCCTGTGGAAAACACAGTGCATAATGTCAAAAGAGTAATGAATTTTTTTTTATAATATGAGGATTTTTATAAAGAAAAGATCCATTCAGGACCCCCGGAACCTACAGAGATAATATTTACTCTTAAAAAAAAAAGGGGGGGGGGGGAGCTGTAAAGATACTAAAGGAAAAATTTAAAAGTCAGGTGGACTGACTTCATTATACTAGGTTTCCTCCAATATGCCAGTCTCTCTCTCTCTCTCTCTCTCTAAAAAAAAAAACAGCTTAATTCCTGCTGAAAGCATCAAACAAAGCACAACCTCCAAAGCTCCAGTGATAATTCCTAGGGATTGCTATAAAACTGCACTAGTTAAGAAACAATGCAGTCCTTCAAATAAACCTATACCCTTCAGAGCACAAGGCAAATGGCTTAACAACTTAGTCATGGAGTGCCCCCCCCTTCTGAGCTCAGCCAACCCCAGAGATGTGTTCTTTGCGTTTTATCTCAAATGGAGCAAAGATCTTCAAAAACTCATCTCAAAGCATTCTTCTTATTTGTTTGTTTATCCAAGGATAAACATAAAAGCGGTGTGCCAGTTTACAACACGGCTGCGATATTTGCGGACGCATGCTGCTTACCCAGGTTAGCCCTCCTGGTTCGTTTCGTGGGACAATGCAGTCTCACTTGCGTGGTCCACAGGTGGCCCCTGCCCATCAAGATGGTGTCCAGAGCAGCCGAGTACTGCCATTCTATTTCTAGCGATCTCCTGTCTCATTCTGTGCCCCATAACAACACCACCACCCCCCCCACTCCCGTCACAATGGACCCCAGTATGGACCAGCCTAAAATGGGTACCAGGAAGTGTCCTAGGAAGTAAAGGCAGTTGGCGGGTTCAGTCTAAATAAAAAATATGTCCAGCACCATAGGCTTGATGCACCAAAGGCATGAAAAGTATTATTTACTTTATGATACCAAATTCCTCAGATGGAACAAAGGGTTTACACACACTTATGCTGGGGTAATCTGTCTGTACTACATATTTCTGCAGAAACGCTTCTCCTTTCTCTGTGTCTGTTATCTCGGTAAACCATTAACTCTGCATACTGTGCTTGTGTGGTCGTTCAATATTTTCTTTGCATTTTTCTGTGTCGTCTCTAGAATCTCCAGAGTGACTTATCTGCTCCGATTTCAGCCACAAAATGTTCCCACTTAGATTTCTGTTACTGGCACCATGAGTAATGGAACTCTTTGCTGGCTGTCAAACTTGAGGACGGAGCACTTATGAGAATGTCCTGAGTGCTGTGATGAAAGTTCTTAGCTCAATGCTTGAAAAAAATACTGGCACTGTAGACTTACCCCACTGGATGATATATTGATCACTCTTACATCCCCGGATATGGAACCAATGAAAATGTTATCATCAGCACGCTGCAGATCAGAAATAAACACAAAACTAATTAACTATATAAGAATATAAGTTTCATCCACAAGGCGACCAGAAATAACTGACTTCAGTGCAACTGAAATTTAAGAATATTTTAAACGAATATGCATTTGAAAGAGAAAAAAAAGCCACACTTACAGACCAGAATAAAAAATCATAAGACTTCAGTGAAATATAAAAGCATCATCAACAATCATAATACATAAGAAAAATACTTATAGGCAAGAAATAAACGCATGTTTAAGTGCAACTTAAGTTTCAGTGTATCTTTAGGCCATGTGTGGGTGTTCAAAACAGTGAATCTGGGCCAGGTTGACAATTTTTTGAAAGGTTTATTTTACACACCTAAGTATGTCTTCTGCCAGATTCAGTGTTTAAGCCTCAAACATACTCTCAGAGTGACCAGAAATAAAAGACTTCAGTGCAACTGAAATTTAAGAATATCTTAAACAAACAAAAAAGATCAGAATCTCCTTGTACTGGAACCCACAGAGTCAAAAGAGCAAAGGCTGACCCAAACAAAACATAAAACGCAGAGAAGGGAATTGGGGAGTGAAGTGAAAATATCGAGGAGGGCAAGGATAGCAAAGAATGGATGACAGTGTGAGTTGTCTGAGGGCCTATGCTCCAATGGTAGATAAAGGGGAAAATACACACAAGAACGTGGCAAATACAGTTAGAAGACTGAATCATCATAAAGCAGGGTTTCCATTCATCCACCCACCGCAAACCCCTCTTTCAGGTGGCCACCTAAAGATATGAGACTTTGAGATGTCAAAATTACAATCTGGATGGCAGGTCCTCGGGCAAACTTGCTAACCACTACGCTACTTCAGCCTTCCCCAAGTGCATCTTATTAAAACTTCTGTTGATCTTATTCCCATGTGGTTCCAGGGCCTATTTAGGGGGTGGGGGCGGCTTTGACAAGCATTGCTATTTGAAAAAAAATAATAAGAAAAACTAATTTCGAGGCTGTTGAAGTATTAGGCTGAAAATAGCAGACATCGCATCCTAGCTGTAGAGCCAGCACAACTTTGAACTGCTGATGCAGGAGAAAGTCTAGATTAAACATTCTCCAGAGTATAACAGTAAAGGAATAAATTATAACGCTTTTCTTTTAATTATGTTATAACTAAAAGATGTTACAGTGCCGTTACTCACATCAAATTTACAACAGGAAAGGCCATCATCGCCAGCGCTGTCTCGGAAACTTGTCAGGGGAGACAATCTGAGGAGAGTACAGCATTAGGTTACACCTGCAAGAAATATACCCGCAGGTCACACCACTATACCTACAGGGGCAAAACAGTGTGGTTTAACAAAAAAAATATACAGAGAAATATTTTACACTGTCTTCCCCGCCAATCCTTTGTCTCTCCTCATTTACCCTAACACTGCTCTCCCTCCCTCAATTATTTTGTGTGTGTCTTCCTTCACACAAACTTTCTTTCTCGCTGTGCCTCTTTCCTTCCCTCCTTCAACTAACTGCAAAGATGTTCTAAACTTTTTTTTTTATCTCCCTACTCTCTCTTCCCAACTTTCTTTCTGATCACATAGCCTTGTTGTTAATGTATGCCGAACTGCTGTGTAAATATAGAGTGTTAACTTATATTAACCTATGCTGAACTGCTGTATAGAGTGTTAACTTATTATGTTAACCTATGCTGAACTGCTGTGTAAATATAGAGTGTTAACTTATTATGTTAACCTATGCCGAACTGCTGTGTAAATATTGAGTGTTAACTTATTATGTTAACCTATGCTGAACTGCTGTGAACATAAGTTGGTATGAATGAATTGTGAAAAGGTGGTACAGAATGGCTAGTTATTTTTCAAGCCTTTTCACAAATAATATTCCTCTAATATCTCCACCTTTGGTCAGACATAGTAATTACAGTTCAATCCTGGTTAGAAAACATCAAACCCGCAGTATTACACTGAAAGAAAGAAAACAGAAACAAAACCACCACTTACTTGCTGTGAATGTATCGTCTATTCAACATCTGACCTTTGGGTCCACCATATGGGGGCCTGGCCTGAATTTAAAAAAAAAAAAAACATGCACAAACTGTTAAATGCTGGAGTGTTTTGTTGACAGAATTTTTATTTTTTAAATGATATGTCTAATGTTACTTAAATTTAAACATATGCTACTGAAAGCTGGAGAACCATTAAAGACAAGAATTAAAGTTATGCACATATTGAAAACATGCCTGAGGAAAACACTGAACATTAAAAAAAAAAAAAAAAAAAAGCACTTGAGCATTGCTCATTCGGCTCAGTGTCGTCAGTGTAGAAGCCCTACACCCTCGTCCACCGTTTTTCTGGAGAGTGTGAGGCTTTTCCCCAGACACAAGATCCCCTGGTAAATCCTCGCAGCGCCATTCTCCTCAGTAATGATCTACTTGTGCCTCGGTACTGTTCACTTGCTCCCAAACAGAGGCATGGTATGTTCTGTTTTACTATTTTCCCCTGTCCCTATTTGTCTCATTTCAGTTCTTCCAAAGATGACAAAGTACACAAGTTTGAAGTTTGAGAATAGACACAACAACGGTGTGGACCATAAGAAGCCCCTCCAAACCAATCAAACAACATAACATGACAATTCCAAGAAATGCAACAGTACAGACGAAACAGAATTTTCACAAATACTGTAAAAATTTACCTGTCTGTCGTAAAGCCGAGATGTAATTGAAAAAGCTGCAGAGTTTTTGCCTAGTGGCTCTGGACATCTGTGTGGTCTACAGATAAAGATTCAGTCATAATATAAAACAGCATGGTTCAAATATCAAGAAATGTTCACAATATTAAACGTGGTCTACAGATAAAGATTCAGTCATAATATAAAAGAGCAAGGTTCAAATATCAAGAAATGTTCACAATATTAAACAACGTGGTCTAATTATACAGCGCTCACCACAACATTAAACAGCGAGGTCTGCAGATAGAGATTTGTTCACCATAATAAACGATATGATATCTAAAGACACATTTTCTTCCTCAGTTAGAAATAACTGAGACATGGTTGGACAGCACACAAAATCAGATACTACTTACACACAGAAAGACATGGCTAAACAGCACAGAAATTTAGGTACTACTTACACAAAGAGAGACATGGTTGGGCAGGTGGAAATAGGCTGCGGGCAAAGAGCGTGCTGTTTCCTCAGATATTCGGTGACAATTTTGTCCAAAGAAGAATCGTAATCTCCTGGCTGCTTCCCTTTTGATCGGAGAAAGCCTCCTGGGGGTACGTAGCCTTCTCTGTCTTTCAAATACCGTCGCTTGTTCTGTGCCACAAAAGTAATTTAAAAAAAACAAGTAAGCACAATGCTAGGCTAGTTTAATTTTCAGGACTGAGTGAAATATCTTTTGCAGTACTAGGCTCCCCATGTGGATTCTGGAAGCTCCACTCAAGGAATATTCAATATTTAACTAAGAAGACATCACAGCATTTAAGACATTCCCATAAGCGCTCTGTCCTCTCTGCAGGCACAGAATTTGAATTCCAGCAGTACCATAGCAGTCTGATAGTATATCCATCTCACCTTTCCACCCGAATGCTGATCATCAACCAAATTCCCTGGCCACTCCTTGCAGTTCCATTCTCTTCAGACCATTATGATCCATCTGGGCTTCCGCACTGTTCACTCGCTCCCAAAGGGCCCTTGCAACAGCTTGTCATACATCAATTCACCACCAAGTTGTGCAGAACCAGCCAGTCTATCTGCTAATTCATTTCTTAATACGCTGGCATTTCCTAGGGAAAACATCCAAAGGCCGCTAATTACCTGGGACGATGCTTGCCCCTCTTCATGGAGTATACCGCTCTCCTCCTTTCTCAGCATGCTGTGAGTCGTTTACAATTACGACATGTGTGTACAGCTGATTCTCAAGCCAGCAAAAGGCTGCAGGGAATGCCTCCACCTCCTGCCCTGCCTAACAAGCATGTCGTACAGGTCAACTAATTAGGGAAGTCTTCTTTGAAGTCGCAGTGCATCTGCTTTAGAGGTGAGGAAACCAATGTCTGCATACAAATAGGCCAGATCTGTAAAATGACATGCAAATGAGGCGCGACAAGGATGACCGTGCGTCATTCAGGATAAAAAAAAACAATGGAACATGGACGTGACTTGTTTCGATCTGAACAGACATACTATGGCCAAATGTAATCCAGCTGTCAGTTACTACTAATTATTAGGCACAGCCAAGTTGTTTTATTGCTAGTGATGTATGGAAGGATGGCAATATAATAACATGAACAATGATCGAGTACTCTTATGTAAATACTTGTGAAATTTCATTAGGTTGTTCTAGTTTTCAATCAGATGGTGAACTGCAGTGTTAATGTACTTTAACTGTTTCAACAATGAACTATATAGGTAGTTAGAGAAGAATTTTAGAAAGTAAAAATTAAGTTGGTGTGTCAGGTCAAATGACCTTAATCCACACATAGCCCTTGCCACCCGTTTCTCACAACCTAACATTGTTCAATTCTCCTCTGTTGAGCTTCCTCAACGCAACCTCTGTGTTCATGCAAAAACTGACCTTATGATACAATGCAGATTGAGGATGACCTGGAGTTCGTGTCAGGGTAAACTTCAAAGGTGCGGGAGTGACTCCTCCATTGATGCATGGAGTTGCTGTCGCACTGAGGCATGGTGTTCCTGTTGTTGGAGGTTTCTCAGATGAAATGGATGCTGCTGAGAAAAAAATAAATCACAAGAATTCTTACAAAAACTCTTGACGGTCATGGAATCGTTACACATCCACTAACGAAATTCCTGTATCAATTCTCTCAACGGTCATGGAATCGTTAACACATCCACTAATGAAATCCCTGTATCAATTCTCTCGAGTTCTAGAATTGTTGAACACATCAACTAACAAAATCTCTGTATCAATTCTCTCAACGGTCCTAGAATTGTTGAACACATCCACTAACAAAATCTCTGTATCAATTCTCTCGAGTCCTAGAATTGTTAAACACATCCACTAACAAAATCTGTGTATCAATTCTCTTAACGGTCCTAGAATTGTTGAACACATCCACTAACAAAATCTCTATCAATTCTCCCAAGGCTCATAAAATAAGTAAACACATTCATTAACAAAATCTATGTATCAATTCTCTCGAGTCCTAGAACTGTTAAACACATCCACTAACAAAATCTCTGTATCCATTCTCTCAAGGCTCATAAAATAAGTAAACACATCCACTTAAAAAAATTAATTCTCTCATCTGCAAATTAACGTTCAAGCCCATTCTCACCTGCTATTCCAGGTGTTCGTGGTGTTGAGGGCGCTGCTACTGGGTTCAGGGCTGTTGGGGTAGCAGAGACGGAGGGAAATATTTCTCTTGTGGTTTGATTAGATGCTGATGTGCTGGGAGTCGACGACTGACTTAACTGTCTGCCCTGAAAAAAAATTAAACTGACTAGAATCTTTTATGGTAGTTTTTTTAAAGTTACTTTAAAAAATTGCAGTAAGCATAATGAAGGTCGGCTATAGTGCTCTCTCAAATAAACCTTCACCCATGGAAATGGCAACACAGCACTTGAGGATCGCATTCACAAACCTCTACCAGCCACATTGTCGGGGCAGAATGGTTTCACATCAACCATAAAATGAACAGGTGAATTTACAAATACTTCAAACATGATACGGCCTAAAACGGGCACCATCCCTGTGTGGGTTACAGGTCCCCATTGTGAGTATGCACGAGCGGGGGAGGGGTATAGACCCACTCCCCACCCACAAGCATGACGTAAAAATAAACTAATTAGGAGTGCCTTTATCTACATCACAGTGCATCTGATATTAGTCTTATTCTTCGAGTGGCTTGAGTGGTAAATTCCATTGTGTGTGTGTGTGTGTGTGTGCACGCGCACGCACATGTGTGTAACACTGAGGCAAGGTATTTTTACCTTTTTTTTAAGGGTGTACCGAGCACAGACGGTACTTTAGAGCACACACGGTACTTTATTTGTGCTCACACATGTGGGTATGCCAGCACAGATATATTGTTTTTACATTTTATCTAGACCTGGTTGCAAAGGCGAGCAAGTTAAAGTCCTCAGTTTTAGACCTGGTTACTAGGGGAGGGGAGACAAATGCTGAGGCAGAGTAGGAGAGACAGTGTGAAAGACAGAGAGAGAGACAGTAGGGGGTGGGGGAGAGAAGAGGGACAGGCAGGTAGGAATGGATAGAGAAAGAGTGGGGGAAGAAGGAAAATATAGACAGAGGAAAGAAGGGGAGAAAAAAGATGACAACACCAGAGAGGGAGAGAGAAGGGACATGCAGAGAAGGAGATGCGAGTAGAGTGATATTGGGCAAGATACAGGAAAACAGACAGAGGATTAGAAACCGAGAGAGAAAGGGAGAGCAAGAGAAGAGATGGAGGCAGACATAGAAAGAGAGGAAGGCAGTGACAAACACAGGCTAAATGCCAGTAGCGCTAACAAATAAAACAGATCGAAAGAAGAAGAAAACATCACCCAAAAAAAAACTTATCCCTCCCTTAACCATAAAACAATTTCTTGTGAACTGGACACAGCTACTAGATAGAGAGAAGTCAAGGAGATGAAGACTAGGAGATGGAGATAAGGAATGCAGGGGAGAGAAAAAAAGAGAGAAGGGGGGAGTGAGAGAGAAAACAGAGTAAGGAATGGGAAAGAAAGGAGTGAGAAAGGAGAAAAGAGGGGTGAAAAAGTGAAAGATCAAAGAGAGAAAGAAAAGAGGAGGAATGGAATGCTGAACTCTAAAAACAGTATCGGTAAATCTAAATGAGGTCATTTTTCCCAGCTCCCATCCTCTCTAAAAAATACAGCTGCTGTGTGAAAGATGGATGGATGCAAGGGCTGAATGTAAGACAGGCCTGTGTGCTCAATTTGTGATCCTTTAAAAATAAATGTGTTTGTTTCCAGTGTTAAAATGGTTGTGGTGCAAAAACAACTGCGTGCCACGTTCCTGTTTCATGTTTGGCTGTCCGCGTGTGGCTACAATCATCTGTTTTGTTTCTTACCCTCAAGGCTGGGTCTGTAAGCCAAGGTCATTTTCCCCAAAGCCCCTAACTCTTCCCTGATGCAAACCCAAGCCTGATTCCCAGAAACGTACAATATGAATATAGGTCATCCTGTCATAAAAACAGGTCATGTCAGTGGACTTATGTTTCATTTCTAATATTACCATTACAGAAAAAAAAAGGGGGCGGGGGGATGTAGACGACTAAACAGGAAAGGGGCAGACAGAGGGTGGGAAAAAATAGAGAGTAAGAAAAGAAAGTCGGCACTCAGACAGGAAAATGCTTCCAAGGGCCTTACTTCCCAAAATACAGGTGTTAGGACTTATTCAAACTTCATCCATAAAAAAATCTAAATTTTTAGGTGTTATGTTTGTTCCCAAGTTTTATAAAAATTGTTTGCATAAATTATCCAAATCAGAAGAGTTATTTTGAATAAATGTTGAGTTTTCAGTTTGATTCATAAATAATCTGTTCATTTAATTTCCTACACGAAAATATAGCGTAGTGTATATGTTAATTTAACACTTTATTTTTTTATAATTGTGTGTGTGTGTGTGTGTGAACTATGAGAATTCCCTCCTTAAGGCTCCGTCTTCTTGGCTACTAAAAAAAAAAAAAAAAAAAAAAAAACTCCGTCTCCAAAGGGTTAATGTGTATGAATGTGGGGGGAAGGGGTATGTTTTGCATCTGGTACCAGCTGACCTTATTACACTGACACTACACCGACTGAAGGTAAGGAGAGAGTGAGAGGGAAAAGGAAAAGGTGAAGAAAACTTCCTCTGTATGGTCCATACCCCACACCGCGAAGAAAACAATGAGACCGTGAACTGCATATCGCTTGTCCACTCATAGATTGCTGATTTGTGTCACTTTTCATAAATTCCAGTTTTGTTTTCAGATTTTAAAGGGACCTTGCATTTCCTGACTTTTTCAAGGTTTCCATGCCCACTACGAAAACAGTATACCGTTTGGTCTGGTCGCATTCCTACCAGGTGGCCAAACCACCTGATTCTGTCTTTGAATGTAATTCATGCCGTCTTGTTACTCTCTAATGCTGATATTCACAACTATGTCCCTTATTGTGTTAGTGGTGACCTCTCAATGACAGTACATTTTTAGGTGGTTATTTTCTCTTTCTGATGATCTACTTATTTTCCATGTCAGGCACGAATTGCATAAGGTGAGGATGAAGATGTCACGAATGATATGCTGTTTGCTGGAAGGCAAATATTTGAACTTCTGAGCAGAAATTATATTCACATTTAAATATATGCAATCTGTCTGAGAGGCTAGGAACCAAAAGTCTGCACACACAGAAGCAGATATGTAAAACAGATTTGCACACACCACTCATGTTCGGAACAAGGCTAAAGTACAGATATGGATGAACAACCAGAACTTTCTGCTGGAGTCTTCAGCCAGTGAACGCAAAGAAGAAGTAGTAGAATATATATATATATATATATGCACACACATTTTTAATCTTCTCTAAAAAGCAATGCATTTCCTTAAGAACCTACTATTTTTGGAGTAGAAGGAGAGTAGAGATGCAAGCTGGCAACATGATGTGGTGGAGGTGTAGGGCACTTTGGCAGGTTTGCTTCCTTCTGTAATGCAACTGCAGATTCATGAAGTCCTGAAAAAAGAAATTTGTAAGGAAATGTTTTGGTTTAGAAATTTCGACAAGTGATATTACACATTTAAGTATTTTAGTAGAGGATCTTCACAGAAATTTCTACAAGTTATATTATAAGAGTTAAGTATTTAATTGTTTTACTATTTCAGCAGTTAAGTAAACAAATTTAAAAGGAAACAGACAATAAACCCCCCCCCCCCCCCCCCCCCCCCCCCCCCCCCCCCCCCCCCCCCCCCCCCCCCGCAGCACTATAAGTGACCATAAGTACTAAACTTTACTGAAACACAAAGTCTTCATAAAATGCTACAGGTAGCAATTACAATATATTCTAAATTATTTCAGTGAAGACACTATTTAGAATCATGGCCATATGTGAATAATTGTTTTGTACATTACAATATACACTAAATAACTGCAGTTAAGAAATGTTTTACAATCAGGGTCATATGTGATTTAATGTTTTATACATTACAATATACACTGAATTACTGCAGCTAAGAAACTTTTCACAATCATGGTCATATGTGATTCAATGTTGTATATGTTACAATATAAGCTGAATTACTGCAGTTAAGAAATTTTTAACAATCATGGTCTATTTGTGATTTAATGTTTTATACATTACAATAATCACTAAATTATTGCAATGAAGAAACTTTTCAGAATCAAGGTCATATATGATTTAATGTTGTATACATTTAAGTATTTTAGCACAGAACTTGTTCAGATTCACAGAGTCCTAAGCGATTATTATATTAAATTATATATTTCAGGAAGAAACTTCAAAAAGTGCTTGTTCATTTTAGAAGAAATCACAAATGCAGAAAAATCAATGGGTGTGCAAGAGCACTCTTTCCTACCTCGCGATGATAAATGATCATGTATCAGCTGAAGCAGTTCTTTTTCCTGGTAAACGATCTTTGTCTGAGCAACAACACCTGCCTGTAGAGTTTGGATCAATCAGTAATCAGGATACATGTGTTTGTATTTATGATTGAGTTTAAATCATGTATTCAAATCCAATCAGTATAAATTGTATTCATTTTTCTGCTTCTACCATTAGAAGGGCAGTTAGCTTGTGTTGTTTACAGCTAGGCTGTGATATAAGCCTCTTACTTACTTACTTAGTCGCTGCTCTTCTACCTTCGGGTGTAGAGGTTTGCCAGACTTCTCTATCAGCAGTTTTCTATCTGGCTTTGTTCGACTCCAGTCGTGTCAGTCAGGGACTGTCGGATGTTGTCTTCCCAGCGGACCCTGGGTTGCCCAGGGGTTCTGATTCCCACCCTGCCATGGTGGCTGATTCTCCCATTCTGCATACACGTCCAATCCAAGTCTGAAGCTGGCTTCTGTGAGCTGTTGTCATTGCCCATGACTCTCACCCGTAGATCAGACCTTGCACATAGGCAGAGCGGTAAACAGGATTTAAGCACCTTGGGGCCCAATAAATCACAATCTCAGCTTCAAATGTTAGTCTAGTGTGTCTTATTTCTATGTCTATGAGTGCCAATCAACAGAAATGAATCTGTTTACCATAATGTTTCAAACAAAACTAAGCGAAGCACACAAACATTTCCCCCACATCTTGAGCCACTCCTATATGGTGCTAACTCACTGTCTTTTTGACCCACCAATTAGCATGCTGGTGTAGCAGAAAGATGCTTGCCTTCCGACCTGAAGATCCTGGGTGTGGATCGGCATCAAGTCAGATTTCTTTAATAAAAAAACATGATCAAAGTACCAATGTCGACCCAGCCTAAAACTGAAATCATGAAGTAAAGGTGGTTGGTGTGCTGCTGATCACATCACCCCTTGAGTGGTCTAATTTCATATGATGTAAAAAGAGGGTGAGCGCAATTCAATATTTAACACAGCTTTTTTAAATTTATCTACTTGTTCATTTATTTGTGACTTATTCATGCTTCTTACATATTTATTATATATGTACTTTTTGGTTTCATTGAACAAGGTTTTTTATTAGTTCTGTTGTCTTGCCTGTTGAGTTTTCCAGTCATAGTTTGTGCTGTATTTAGTCCTCCGTTGATGAAGACTTTGCTTTGTGTTTGTGTGCGTTTTTTTCCATCCCCTTCGCTAAGCGTTCTAGTCCCATTTCACATACCCGGTGTATCACTAGTGTTAAAAAAAATCCTTTATTTGCTTACTATGTCAGCACTCAATGGGAATGTGGTCAACAACAAAAAATTATTTAAAAAAAATTCTTCTTCCCATCCACCTTTAAAAAAATCTCTAATGGCTCTCAGGCCCTTAACGAGCCTAAGCCATGTCATTCTGCCCAATGTCTTTGCATGCAGCTCACCCCATGTCCTCCCCTTATCTCATTTATGGAGAAATAGAAGATCAAACCGGTTGGTTATCTCGCCAGAATGCAACTACCAACACAGGTGCAACAAATGTGGAATCTGGTGATCTATATCCCTCTCAACTTTACCTGACCGATGTCCCGCTATTACGGGAATTTCCTAATCTGCCGCTAAACCAATTTTCCTCAATGTCAGTACTTTGCTTACTGCGTGAAAATAATGCGTCACAAACTAAAAATAACTAGCTAATCACGATCAGAGCTTGTGGTTAGTCATTGCGAATTGCTGCCCACGTGTGTCTAGATTTTCTTTGTGTGTTTGACGTGAAAAAAGTGAATTTCACAATAAAACGGGCGGCTGTTGAACCAGGCACTCCGATCAGAAAGTGAAGTAGGCCTAGGCTTTTCACAGTCCAACAGGTGATCGATACTTTGGTTGATTCAGACTCTGAGGAGTCAGAATTTCGTGAAGAATACGTTCTTAGTTGAAGTAATAGTGTGAGCTCGACTGATGAGGAGAATCTTGAAAATTTAAAACTAGATCGATAGTAAGAGAAGGGGGCGTGTCCCTCAAATAGCGACACATGGGGCTCACTTTGTGAAACAAGACCGATCTTTCTGGCTGGAATTGCACACAAAGGTGGGTGGAATAATGGCGCTAGATAAAAGGTATTCCTATTTTCTACAATTTCTCCAAGTTCAACTTTTTCTAACCACTTGTTTGCATTACCTAATATTTGTGAATATCATGCTGATTTTTTCGTGTTGATGCCCAGGAGCTCAGGTATAGGGGGCAGTTAGGTGCAGGGCCTTAGGTCTGGTAGGGTTCAATCATGTCGGCCACATTTATTTCCCAGAAAATGTCCCAGCATCTAGCGTCTGCTTTGTTTGCCCATGTTGAAAAAACATTGAACTATCATTACTGCTAGTGTTTACCACTCTTGAGAGCGGCATGGGCAGGGGAAAGGTCTCAAGCCTGAGGATACAGAGCTAGTGTAGTTGTCAGTGACTGCGCAGGTTGGGATTATATTCTACCCCTGACAGAAACAAACTATTAGCTCACCAAGGATTCAAACCCAGTCTCCCAGGTGAAACCTCAGCATTTGTAACCAATTGGCCAGCTGCAACTCACAATAAAACATTGTAATCTGTAAACATTTTCAAAAAAATATATTGAAATGAGTGAAGTGTCCATTGCTTGTACCTTCCTGATCTCTTCTAGTGTAGCAGCACCTAGAACATTAGCTTGTCGGCCAGCTATCTTCTCCAGCAAGGTTGAGGCATATTTACAGAACTGATGGTGTACGTGACGTTTGTCGGACAAAACTGGCTCCTTCATGAGGCCTGTTTAAAAAAATGTGGTAAAGTAAAAGTAAGTAAATTTTAACAAAACAACTGTGTTGTAATAAACTAAATGAGTGTTAGAATTCAGAATCATCTTTTTCTTCACGTAGACTAGCTGTTAACTCTGGTGGAAAGTTCTGGTTGTTTGTCAACCTCTGGACTTTATTTATTCTTGTTCCAGAATCTGAGTGTTCAATGCACATTTGTTTAACAGATCTGACCTAACTGTATACAGATTGTTAGTTCCCTGCCTCCACACAGATGCGCTCCAACTTCGAATGAAGCCCCCAATGAGCCGACTCGTAGGACATGCTTGTTGTGAAGGCAGTGGGTCTATTCTTGTTTTCCCCTACAATTGGGTCCTGAAACCCACACAGGGAGATCCAGAATTAAACCTGTATTATAATACTGTGGTAGATATCGAAGGTCACAATGGCTATCCACAACCCTCTGTCTTCAGTAATGTCAATCAATTCTGATGACCTTCCATGCTGTGACGTCACACTGCCCAGCATCTTCTCTCTTGGTCTATTTTCCCTTCCAACTTTCATCACATTGTACTGGTTTTCTCCTTCTTACACGACCAAAGAACGTAGACTGTCTTCTCCTCATGTGGGCATCCAGTTCATTTTGTGACTCTGGCGCAGTATAAGCCAACTTATAATAAACAGAGGCAGGAGATAAAATAACCACGATGTTTGGTTTAACAACTACGTGGGTTAGAGAAGGTTAATATCTTAAGGTAATATGACTAACCAATTTCATTAGGTTAGGTTATTAGTAGTAGACTAAAGTTTAAAAAAAACAAAAACAATGACAGAAATGTAATGTTTTCCTAATATGCTAGGTGTATCGAGGAAAGATAGACTTAGGAACGATGATATCAGGAGAGTGGGCACAGAACCAATACAGAAGTTTATAGGTAGACAAATCAAATGACGGTTTGGCCATGTAACAAGAGTGGCAACAGACAAGGCACCACAGTAAGCAATGTTATACAGATATAAGGGTAACAAAGCCAGAGGTCGACCACACAGAAGATGCACCGCAGAAATATCAGAGACACTGCTTACTTTGTAATTGTCCATTATTCAGAGGTGGAAGTTTGCCAACAATCTGTCTGATGGTCTCTGATCGAGCCATGCCCACAAGAGCTTTACAGGCCAGCATTCTCATCCAGTCTGCCTCGATGATTGGGGTCTTGACACTTAAGGTTTTCAGCAGCACCTGCACAACAAACAAATGCTATGAACTTCCCAACAGTTCCTAAACACGCAACAGTGGTTTTTAATCACAGAAGTTCTTATCAATAGGGGCAAAAATGAGTCATCAATTAATTACTACTTATTAATACTGTCCGAAATACTTACTTTGTGTTCTTATATCTAACTAGATTCAGGTATACAAAATCCTTAATGTAGTTGATTTTGATTTCAATTCGAAGGATTCATATATTTGCTTTTTTTTTTAATCAACTGTTACTACTGTAGTATGCACCTGACAAGATACATTGAAATAAGCCAGGCAATAAATTGTGTCTCTTAGTTCAAACAAAAAAAAATCTTAGTTGGTCTAAGAACTGTCAACACAACAATTATATGTGTGATCTCTACAGCCTTCCATGGGTAAATGCAATAGCAGATCACAGCCATAATCCCTATAGTATTTCAAGGCCCAAAGCACTATGGGTAATTAAAACTGCAGACATCTAGAATTCCTAGTTTTGCATGGACCATAACAATTAGGGACTATATCTGCAATCGCAAGTGTGTTTATGTAACACATTCTTCACCAACATACACCCATAACACTGTCAAAATCAATGAAAAGCAGTCTGCTGACAAATCGCCAGCAGCTAGAATTAAACAGGGGTCTTCAGAATTACAAAGCGCATTGACAATGCCCAAGCCATAAATGCCAACAAAAACCAGTACGGCTCACATTATATCACTAAACTAATCCAAAAGATGAAGCAGACACACTAAATTCAAATGCATGCTATTTGCTTACCATAATGCCATTGTTAGTGCGAACATTGTGCCACATCAAAGACAGTATGTCTTCTTCGGCTCCTGATTTCTTTTTGCTGCCATGGTAACGGACAGCACCACTTCCAAACTGCAGAAATAAGCATTTCAAAATAAGCAAGCTAAATACTGATTGTGTCATTTTCAGATAAGCTGAATGTTTACAAAGAAGCTCCCTAATTAGCTATATAAAGCTAAATTGAACAAAGAAGTAACACAGACAGAGTAATAACTATGTGCAAAAAGAGCTCTCCAGACTCTGGCATAAGAAATTACAGAAAAAGCTACATAAATCAAATGCTTACAATGAAGTTACATTAATAGCTATTTAACAAAGAAATTATAGTAGTGGCCATATATAAAGCAAGTGTTTACACAAGACAGAGTAGTAATAAAAATTTGCATAACCTTTACTGGACGTTGCAGAACTAACCCTAGCATTTTTTGTCTGTTGTGGTTTTTCTAGGCAAATTTTACTTTCGGTAGTTTGCCACTACTTCAGAACGGTCAGCTCTCGGTACCACGGTCAAAACCAAAGCAAGATAAATCATCCGCAGCCTGAATCGAACCCGACACTTCAGCAATATGAAGTTTGTTCACAATGCCTAAGCCACAAATGTAGAGTAATAACTATGTGAAAAAAAGAGCTTTCCAGAGTTTGAGGCATACATTGGGTCTCATAGTTAGAAGTTTATCAATAGGAAATGCTGTCTATTATCTATCTTGGGTAGAAGTATTGAGTGGAGGAGTTTTTTAGTTTTAGTTTTAAACAGAAAATTATTAGTTTCTGGTGTGGAAAAAATATACAAGTTCTGGGAAGTTAATCAGCTGTTTTGAGTAAAAAATAAAGTTACCTGCTATCTAAAGTTGTATTTTTTTTAGAAAATCGATCAGATATCTTTGACAGAAAACAGACACATTTGTTTAAACAAAATTTAATCAGCTGTCTGTGGTAGAAAATGAAGTTTATGTTTTGGAAAGTGTATTAGCTGGTTGTGCTAGAAAATGAAGTTGTATGTTTTGGAAAGTTCATTAGCTGGTTGTGGTAGAAAATGAAGTTGTAAGTTTCAGAAAGTGTATTAGCTGCCTGTTCTAGAAAATGAATATGTATGTATTGTTTTGGAAAGTGTATTAGCTGTCTGTGGCAGAAAATGAAGAAGTTTTGAAAAGTTTATCAACTGTTTCAGGCTTAAAAATAAAGTTGTCTGTTTTGACATGTTCAGTTGTCCAGGGTATAAAAAAAATATTAAGCATGCTTTGAAAAGTCTATGAGCTGCCTGCGGTAAAAAAAAAACTAGGCAGCTTCTTATGTCCTACTGCTTATGTCACAGAGCATTGCAGAAAAATTAGATTCTGACATACTCAGCCCCCCGTTAGCTTCTTCACTCTCTGAAACCACATAGTGACTTCTTCTTCTGTGGTCGTCACTAAAACAAAGTGGTAGGCAGTCTATGTTGTGGTTTACAGCTAGGCTGTGATATACCACCTTTTTGCCCACCGCATTTTAAACTGACTAAATTTACAAGTACTCACTCTCTCCACAGGTCCACAAACACAGTTGACAATCACTCTCAGGGCAGCTTTAGTAATTTCAGCATCAGAAATGACCTCTCCTTCTACCAAGCCGACAATTACGCTGAAATGTATTACAATCAGTGATTGGAATTTCAGCAACAGTGCATGTACATAAGAATATATCATATAGTAAACATCACATGAATGTGATCCAAAACTGCAGATACTAGACACCTGCCATGTGTGCTTTGAAGGACACCTTGGAAGGGGGGGGGGGGGGGGGTGAGAGAGAGAGAGAGAGGGAGAGAGAGAGAGAGAGAGAGAGAGAGAGAGACGAGAGAGAGAGAGAGAGAGAGAGAAGAGAGAGAGAGAGAGAGATGAGAGAGAGAATGAGAGAGAGAATGAGAGAGAGAGAATGAGAGAGAGAGAGAGAGAGAGAGAGAGAGAGAGAGAGAGAGAGAGAGAAACCCACTGCCCTCTTAACTCTTTGAGCCCCAGGAGGTTTAGTGTCAGAGGCCCAAGGGGCAGTCAAAAGAGATGTAAAATCGGCGCATCTTGCGTTCATTGGGCTTCTTGTAGGAATCTATGAACGTATGACGCGTTCCTTGGGACTCGAAGAGTTAACAAGCATGTTGTAATGAGGCAACCAATTAAGCATTTACCTGAAATGTTTATGTCCTAGGCTCAGCTGTCGCAACCTAGCTGTAAACCACAAAACAGAACCTGCCAGCAGCCATTCTGAGAGCCAAGGTATAAGAAGAAGAAACAAAGAACAAACATATTCATCTGAAGATTCTTACCTCATTATGGGCGTTTTGATATTGTTGGGCAGATCAGCAGTTCCACACAGCAACAGCTGAGTCCGATGAGACACTGCACACATGGCGATCACATCCAGCGCCGAGACAATGGTATCACTCCTGAGGACCACAAATGTGCCAGCTAAAAACTGCAAAAGCATTAAGGACAACAGGGTAGGAACATTTGTCCAATATTGCTAATCATCTAATGTTGAATTGAGAATCAACATCACAGCACTCAGAACGCTCCCATAAGCACTCCGTCCCCACATCTTCAGGAGCAAGCCCAGAGTTCTAATTCCGACGGCACCAGTAACTGTGTGACCATATGTGCGTCTCGCTTTTTCCTTCAGTGTTGAGCGTCGGCCAGATCAATTAAAGTTATCCAGCCGGAGCTTGCGGCAGCAGATATAATCTCTTAATCTCTCTCTTTTACGCTCTGTGGTCTTTGCAACTTTTTTTTCCCCTTTCCCTCCTATCTGTTCCTATTATTACAATATCTCTTTTCAGTAAGTTCGACGTTGGTCTCATTAAATAAAGTAGGTTTGTTGGGCTGGTCGACTTTCCTGAAGGTTACGGGTGTGTCCTGCTCTGTTGTTTGGTTTCTACGATGTCTTACATTTATGTTTTCATTCTAGAGAATGCCTGTGACATACGCTGGAGTACTCTGGGGTTGGGGGGGGGGGGGGGGAGACTTAGTTTCTCCATGTTTTTGCGAAGGACATGAGGCTCAGGAACTACCGATCAGTGAGCTTGTCCAGCTTGAATCATTGTCCCACTTGACTATACAGCTGGCAGAGAATGTTCTTACTTACTTCCCCTAATAATTGTAATGCTTGACTAAACGCTGGTACATAATTTTCATATTTATCACATCACCCCTGATTACAAGCTAGCAATGAATGCTTCTACTTACTTCCCCTGATAATTGTCCCACTCCGGTGACATGGCCACGAGCTGACACAGAATATTCTGACCACCCAACTTGTGAAGGTTCATTTCTGGAGCCCAGGTAGACTTTGGTGGCAGGTGCTCTAGAAGGATGTCCATGTTCTCCTCCAAAGTGAACTTGCATCCTTTCACAGACTGAAGGCATACAACCAGAAGGCAAAATATAAAACAACAATACAAAATAATTCCAAACAATGCAGCATTCAATAATTTTGTGACTGCATACAATTGCAGGAAATACCACGTCATGGATGCCCTAAAACACCCTTAGAGGGTTCTTTTTTATTTTCATCGAACACCGGCTGTGAATTCCAGTGGAAGGTCCCGGTTAATCGTCCGCTTGGACTTTTGGCTTTCACCTGGACCTGATTTTTGCGTGTACAACCGTTTTTCATTTCCCTGCCTCTTGGGCAGCTGTACGCCGACTTCGAAGGAAGACGTCAGACCTATTTCTAGGGTGACTGTGGCCATTGTTTTGTGTGGGTCGAGACTTTGCCTGATTTGTGTGGTGTCCGCCTTGTCTCCTTCGCCGCAGGTATTGCCTCCGGAGTACCCCTTTGGGGCAGCCCCCTGTGGAACAGTTGGCCCTCAAGGGAAGGCAGGGGCAGATCACTGGCATTCCCCGCCATCCAAGGAGGCTTCCATGCATGCAGAGCCGGCACATGGCGCTCTGGTTCTAGGCTCACCCAAGGAATCGTCACGTCCTGCACATGCCTGCTTAACCTCACAACCGTATCAGGTCTCCCGCTCGACAGGGGCTGCGCCCTCTGGAAGTCAGCGGGGAGCAGCCCGTTGGTTTTGGACTTTTGTGACCACACAGATAGGTACATTAGCCCGACAGAATTTCACATCCTGAATCAGGCATATCGTTATCAGTTTTGTCCCAACACTCGGGCGAGTGGGGTCTTTGGGTGTGGACATTCGGCCTTTTTCAGTTCAGTGCAAATTTTGATGGTCAGATTTTGATCCGTATGATCTAGTTTTGTCGGACATTTAGGCTTAGCCATCCGATGGATGGTTGCTGTTGTAGTGTACCACAGTGCAGTGACGACGACACTGAGGGTTAACCGAGGATGTACGTGACTGGCCAGCCTATGGATGGTTGCTGTTGTGGTGCACCTCAGCGCGGTGACGACAACACTGAGGGCCAGCCCATTTATGGTTGCTGTTGTGGTGCACCTCAGCGCGGTGACGACGACACTGAGAATTAACCGAGGATGAGCATTGAGCAATGTTCTCTTTACTCAGTAGTCTTTTAACCAAGGGTTGTAATTTTAGCTGTACTTTTGTCTAACCTACTCATGTTCCTAATGAGTTTTGATAACATTTTTCACCCAAGCATTTGGGGGCGGGCTGATGAGAGCCACAAGGACACATCACCTCTGGGGGCCGCCAAACTCCGAGATCCCCTGACAGCTCTGTTAATGCTCATTTGAGACATTATCCGTGGCGCACGACGAGGACGTGCTGTAGGGGTCTTGCGTGAGGTTCCGTACAACCAGGATAGTAGTAAAGGACTGGCGCCCGAGTGACGTACGGAGTATCTCCTTATACACATCATGTTGGACTTAACTTCCCCTCACGCCTGTGACATAAATCACCGCGCCACTCTTAGAGGGTGAACAATGTATTCATGATGTTTGTAGACTGTTGACTAGGCATGTCACTGTGGAATTATCAGGGGATTAGACCCTGCCAAAATTCTGCATCTGCGGCTTCCTGGAGTAAAATGGCTATGGAATTTTAACTGCTTTTTCACCTGGTTTGAATTTGACCACTGATTTTACAATCACATGTATAGTTCTATGATGCATGAAAGAGTTCTGCTAAGCTTCGATAACTTGAATTTACTGCAAAAGTTGTGCCGTTTTTGTGTGGTTAAATCCAAAGATTATTGCAATGTGTGAACAATAAATTCTTGCAACAGAAGGATCTAACTTGGGCTTGATAGTTACAACTAAGTGAAAAGAAAAACGTAATATAAACATCATGCAGCCAATATATCATCAGATCGAGGGTAGGCAAGTTAGATTCGTATAACTGGTATCCCAATCTAGAATGGCCAACAGGAAGTGTTATGTAAAGTCAAGGCAGCCTGCATGATAGTGACAACACCACCCATCAAGTGCCAATTCGTTTTTTTTAAATATAGATCCATCATCAAATGCAAGGCACATGAAAAGCAATGGACTGAGCAGATGTTCTCAGTACGCTCAATGATGGAGAATGAGTAGAAGATTCAGGAGGAGTGTGAATCAGCAACCGTGAAAAGACTAAAGGAAAAAAAGGTTTTGCCAGACATGAACACTATATAGACAGCCAAAGAAGAATAGTAAACCAACACAGAACTGGTGTCATCAGTCACCACATGCTGAGGGAGATACTAAAGATGGATTCCGAACACTTCCGGACTTGTCCGATGTGCAGTGAGGGTGATCAGGCGATTAACTAACTGACTGGCACGAAACACCAATTCACAAACTTACCTTGCTTTCTCTGAGGGTGGAGGCCCCATCATGATGGTGAAGACTTCGCAGCTCGTCAGCCTTCAAGGTAGTGTGAACTTCAAAATACTTGCGCAAGGCATCGCACACAAGCCTGGCAGCCTGCCTCATCTGATGAAGCTCATCGTCATTTTCTGGGTCGTGCGGGTCGGTGCTTAAGATGCTCAGAGTGCTGATCTGTGGACAACAAAAACTATTTGGTCAACATGGTTTATGCCATTAAACAAGGATCTTTGCCTGCTTTGTGCAACTCTGCATTTAAACCTAATACTTTTAGAGTGCCGATATCTGTGGACAACAAAAACTATTTGGTCAACATTGTTTATGCCATTAAACAAGGATCTTTGCCTGCTTTGTGCAACTCCGCATTTAAACCTGAAAATTCTTTTAGAGTGCTGATCTGAGGACAACAAAAACTATTTAGTCAACATGTTTTATGCCATGTTAGAGACAAAGTTAGAAATGACATTATCAGACAGACTGAAGGCACAACACCAGGCAGCAAATCCACTGAGAAACAGAAGATCAAATGGTTTGGTCATTTAGTAAGAATGCAGCCAGAACAACTACCAACGCAGGTGCCACTTGTGAAAAGATCTGATGTGAAAGCAAACATTCGCCCTTGGAGAACATGGATTGATGACATTAAAGAGCTTCTAAATCAGCATGGAATAGCAATAGCCCATGCTGCCCATCAAGCAATGGGTTGCAAAATTCTCCTTCCCACAATGCTTAAAGTCAGAAGGGTAAATTGATGATGATGATTTATGCCATTAAACAAGGATCTTTGTATCATTTGTTCAACTTCACATTTAAACCTGAACATATTTTTCCCCAAGTTTCAGTCTTCTTCTTCGTTTTAGCATTTACTGGATGCAAGTTCTAGTCGTTTTTTTCTCTTCTGGACATTTCTTTGCCCCAGCACGTTTGCGTGCACATCGGTTTTACAAATCTGTTTATTTGTGTACAACGGTCGACTGAATATAAGCTCCTTGCATCTCAGACTGTTGCACTCTCTAAAGAAAACATTGATCCATTCTATGTTGGCCTGGCTCCCGATTGGGAACCTGTTTTGATTACTGAAAGGTGTAGTTAGGTCATGATCATAGTCTGTGTGTGGTTCTTCTGCATCTCTTCATTCTAAATTGCAGTCAATATGAGCTTCTTGATATCTCCTTTGTTTGACCTAAAAATGTACCGGTCTATTGTTTCTTTGCACACTTTTAAGCACCACATGAGTATAATAAAAGAAATGTGCAGTCAATGTCTGAACAAGAAAGAAACCTAAACAGAAAAGCTGCATCAAGAAAGAATACACCTTCCTTTGTGTGTGTGTGTGTAAACCTCCATCTGTTTCTGGACAATTTTCTTGATTTAGACAGTCACTGTAATCAGGTAATTTCTGTTCCAACATCACCATGGTTCCTCTGTTCCTATGCCAATGAAAACCACACAGAATGTCCTTCACGGTCCCTTGTGAAAGAACTGACAGACTACAGTAAAGCCAATTGCATATACGCGCATTAAATGCACAGATCTAAACAGTCCAGCATGAGGTTCATCGTCCATGGAAACAGCAGTCACAAGTGACAATCGAAACAGTCCAGCATGAGGTTCATCATCCATTGAAGCAGCAGTCAAAAGTGACAATCCAAACAGTCCAGCATGAGGTTCATCGTCCATTGAAGCAGCAGCAGTTAAAAGAGATCAGAAATTGATCATGAAATTCATGACATAAGGCACAACTGGTTCTCTAGCAACAACAGACCATTCACCATTTTTCTGAATCTGCAGTGGTAAAAACATTATAAATTAAATTCACAACTCCCAGTGTAGCACTATGCATTCAACTCATGAGCTGGGTGATGGAACTATACCCCACACATGGAGGAAAATGCAGTGAGGCAACATATGTCAGAAACACAGATACTTGCCACAACTAAACGAACGAACGAACTTTATTTTCAAAGGGTTACGAATTAGGTACTCAGGCCTGTCTTACATTCGGCCCTTCTAAACTTCCATCTTTCACACAGCAGTTGTATTTCATCAATGAAGCATATTATATTCATGTAATAATATGCATATTATGAATATGAAGTCAAAAACAAAAGCATGGCTGGTAAAATATGTGTGCACGCTCGCGCGCGATCACATACTTACATACACACACACAACCATTCACTCACACACAAACACATAGGCACCCAGTACACACATACATCCATGCATGCATGCATACATATATACATACATGCATACATACATGCACTAAAAACAATAAGCCTGCCAATCCACAATATTCACCATAAGTTGGCACTAATGTCTAAGCCACTTCATCTTTCATAAAATCCTAGGAAATAAAGACAAGTCGGCGTAATCTCGGCCATATTACCTATTCAGGGCCGATTGGTCTATAAAAATTGAGTGTGGCACTGTATGCTTGATGCACTACTGCAGTTAAACAGGTTGCTTTATCCCCCCCCCCCCCCCCCCACTGTTATAAATTAATCATAAAATTGTGGAAGTATTTAAAAGAATTTGTGAGCAAAGTCATTTACCACATTGATTAGCCGTCTGAGTCCATCTTTCTGATCAAATAAGTTGAGAATAACCTTGTAGGTGAATGACTGGGAGAAGAACAGGCAGGCATGACAACGACTGGAATCATGGGAACACTCCATCAGCCACAGATTGTACCTGTCATAAAAACGAGTGTGACACAGCGTTTGAAATATCTTTACAAAAATGTAATAGGAAAAGTTGTGCTGTCTCTGCAATTGATCGGCCGCAGTTATTTGAATTAATTGCTAACTGGCTGTAAACTCTGGTAGAAAACTTTGGTTGTTTGTCCACTTCTGGACTTCTGTCTTATTTTAGAACTACAGAGTTTTACAGATCTGGCTTATTTGTATGATGGTTCCTTGCCTCTCAAGCAGATGCACGACATCTCTAAATAGTTGCCTTCTACAATATCCTTATAAGGAGGCAGTGGGTTATCCCTTTCACCCCTCCCAATAGGGTCACTATTAACGACTTGCTTGTTAGGAACAGGTCTGTTATAACTTTCCACCTCTTAATAAAGCCCCTCTGAATCTAAATAATGCAAGGCACAGCAATGACACTCACTTGGTACTTCTAAATGTGCATATACTTTTGTGACAGTCTGAATAATAAAGTGCAAGGTCAACATTTTACAAGGTAAAAAAAAAAAGCCCACATTATATTTTTAAAAGCAAAACAAATACAATAATTATGATATTTATTGCCCCTTTCGATCACTGTAAAACTTTCACTACATATATGTGTGCTCCGCCAACACATGATAATATAATTTATCATTTTTTTCTTATACTATTGATTGGAAACTATTTAAATTAATGATAACAGGGGAAAATACTTACGAGACTACATCAGAGAGTACTGTTTCTGGCAGCATGCACATCTGTGAATGGAGTCAAACGTGAAACTATAAAACAAGATCATAACTTTACATATAGTAGTTAGTTAGTTGGGTTATCCACATTGCACCCCGGACATGTCCATAGGTGCTCAGATCCTCCCCTCAGTATGAACCCCAACGTCCGATGGCTAATAGTACCAGTTCTATGTTGATTAACAAGTCTTCTGGCGTGTCTGGTGTGCGTCTCGTTTTTTGCTGTACCGATCTTAATTCCCAAGTCTGCCATTCTGGCGAGTGATGTGGATTCACTGCCACCAAAGTCCTCTATCCTTCCCATTTTTATTTCCAACGACGCCTGCGTGTCCCGGAACAAAAATAAAGGTGACTCCACGCACAGTGGACTTCTGTAATGATTCAAGCCATTGCCTTCGCACTGAACCTGCCTGAACCCTCCGGATCATACTCATTGAATCACTGAGTATACACACGCGGGTGTATTTTTGTGTTTCAAGCCAGGCAAGCGCTTGTGTCACTGCCATCACCTCCATCGTCATGCTGCTGGTTGTCATGGAGAAGGCGCCGTTGGTTTCTTTGACTGTTCTGCCCCCTGAGCGTGCTGTAAATGCCCATGCGCTTCTTCTTTGGCGTATAACGGATAAGTCTATATAGATTATTGCATCTGCTTCGTCTGAATGAGAGTAGTTCTTTTTAAACATCAGATTTCAATCTTTTCACCATTATACAATTTTTAGGGCCGTTTCACTGTTTGTTTGGCAAAAATAATATCTCCCCAAAATGCCTCGCTCAACCTGAGTGAGCTTGTGTGACTTGTCTCAAGTTGTGAACTTTCTAGAAAAACATGGAAATTAATGTACAGAAACCTTTTGGCAAATAATTTCCATTAGCTACTGTAAATTTCATAAGAAACTATTTTGGGGGAGGGAAGGAAATGTCAATGCAAGAAAATTATTTATCATGGCATAGGAATTTCATATGCCTGTGTATGATTTCAACAATTTCGGTCAAATGATAGCATTTTATTTTGAAACAGACTATAGTATTGCTCTGGGAATATTACAGTACAGAAAACAGGTTCCTTCTGTAGCCGCAGGGTGTCCCAGTTTCAACTATTTCATGTAAATGAATGAGGATGTTGTTTCAGCTGGGTTGGCAGGCAAAAGTGGTTGTTTGAGTTATGTGATGATAGATAGACCTTCGTGTTGCAATCCCAGAGGGAAGTTTTTTTTTTTCAAGATGAATCTGCACAATGGTTAGGGGGGGGGGGGGGGGGGGGATCCAGAATGTGTTTTGGTTGTGTTGGCAGGCAAAAGGTGGTTGTTTGAGTAATGTGATGCACGACCTTCATGTTGCAATCTCAGAGGCAGGATTCAATTTATAAAAAGGTGAACTGTGGATACACAAATCTTAGCAGCCAGTGGTAATGAAGGGCTTACTCGTTCTGTGGCATCCTCAAAGTAAGTAATGTAGTAGAAGCACAGGGAGACACCAGTGGCTGCCATGGAAGGTCGGTGAATCTCTAGAAGCTTCTGGACTCCACCCTTAGTGATGAATTCCGCAGCAAATTTTTTGTGGCACAGAATCACAGAAAGAAACTGCCAAGGGAAACAAGATATACATTTTTGTATCAAACTGTTTATAAACTAGTTTCAAATGAATTAAATATACGTTCAATGTTGAATTAGGAATCGACATCACAGCACTCAGGACATCCCCATAAGTGCTCTGTCCCATCTTAAGCAGCAAGCGAAAGGTT